TTTTTTTTTTTTTTTTTAGTTTTAGTTTCCAAATCAAAAAATTTTGCTTATTTGGCATGACAAAGTTTGGACACCTCAGCCCAATATTATCTTAATACTATGGATTCAAGCGACTGGTGAATTTCTGATTTTCTACACATTTCCTTACCACTCCTTTTTATTCCCCCCATTGTTGGCACCAAATTGTATTTTTATTATTATATTTTTTTTGCAAGGTCTTTCTGGTCCACATGTTTGCATTCTGTTATGTCCTCTCACTCCCTGCCTGTTGGGCCAGAAGGCCACCCTTCATAGGTCTGGTTCTGTTGAAGGTTTTATTTTGTTGAATGACCTCCACCCTGCTACGCTGCTGTGTGCTGCCTGGTGCACGCTACTCTAAGTGCAACTCTGAATTGAAAAAGGTTTGGCAGCAACATGTGACTTAAGAAATTTTTCTATAAAAATTGCTCTCATTAATTTAAAATTTAATGAACGACTAAAGTGACAAAGATTTAACAGGAAGATGATTCTAAAATAACCTTAATTGTGTCACTATCTCTGTATGCTGTGCCTAAAAAAACACAAATACTCCATACCTTTACCAGCATAATACTTTACTGGATTTGCAAATCCTGTATTGTGCCCAAATCTTTTTGTGAAACAGTTCACTCTTAATATGATTGGGAAGCAAAGTCAACATCAGTTTTCAAACCTCGCTACAGATTCTCATTTGGACTTAGTTCTGGACCATTCTACCACCAGATAAGGCTAAGACCATGAAAATTGTAGCTGGTTGAATGTTTAGACGTATTGGAAGGTGTACCTGAATCTGGTCTCAAGTCTGTTGTAGTATTTTGTTACAGAACCAGCCCATATTTAGCATCATCCATTTTCCAGCTTATCTAAAGAAATGTATCCCCACACCATGATGCTACCGCCACCATGTTTCACCCAAGGGAATAAGTCTTATGACAATCTGCATTGTTACTTTCTCGCCAAACAAACTTTAGATGTAAACTGACATGTTTCCTGTGTTCCCTACATCAGTGGTGTCCCACTCTGGTCCTCGTGGCCCATTGTCCTGCAGGTTTTAGCTGTTTCCCTTCTGCCACACACATCACTCAAATAATTCACAAGCATATGCAGTGTTTGGTGGCAAGCTGACAGGTGCTAGGACCTTTTCTCTTTACTATACGTATATAGGCGCCCAATTGGTAGAATTATCAGACAGCATGGTAGTAATTCCCACTGTTGTACTGATGACACTCAGCTATATTTATCCTTAAACCCAGATGAAACTAACCCATTACACAGATTACAGGCATGTTTTGGAAACATAAAATTCTGAATGATTTATAACTTTGCATTTTTGAATTCAGATAAACCAGAGTTTATTGTCTTTGGACTAAACTTACTAACTTTAGACTAATATAAGCTGATTAGTCAGTCACTTTATATGGATGGGATTAAATTGGCTTCGTAAAATAAAGTAAGAAATCTTGGTTGTAGTTTTGATCAGGATCTGTCATTTAAATCAAAGATCTTTCTGGAATTTTCTTCATCTCCACATTAAAAAAATATCAGAAATATCTTGTCCAAGGGGGATGCTGAGAAATTTGTTACTTCAAGACTGGATTATTATAATTCTTTACTATCAGGCAGTCCTAAACAATAGTTAAAAGCCTTCAGCTGATCCAAAATGCTGCAGCCAGTGTTCTGATGAAAAAATAAAACAATGTCATATTTCTCTAATATTAGCTTCCCTTCATTGGCTTCCTGTTAAATGCAGAATAGAATTAAAAATCCTCCTTCTCATATATAAAACCTTAAATGGCCAAGCTCCATCTTATATCAGAGATCTGATTGTTCCTTATGTCTCTAACAGAGCACTTCGCTCTCAGTCTGCAGGTTTACTAGTGGTTCCTAGAATTTCTAAAAGTAGAATCAGTGACAGGTCTTTTAGTTATCAGGCTCCTCTCAAGTGGAACCAACTACCAGTTTAGTCCATGAGGCAGACAACCTGTCAACCTG